TCCCTACGTGCATCCTTCCTTCTCCACCCCTGGCGCCTCTAATTTGCGGACTAATTTCTTATTCCTGTCTGTGCTTGTTTAACACTCTTGCACAGTCTGTAAAGGTGTTACTGTCATAGTACATAGGCAGCCTTTGGGCCAGCCTTGGTTAAAATGTAACAGAGTGAGAATTTTTTTTATGTCTTTATACAGAACTTAATTTAAATAATGTATGAATGATTTTTAAATATGCATAGTATATAACTGAACTGCTTATGTGGAAGTGGGGCAACTGTATCGGGGCAGTAAGGAGGTGTCAATCCCAAGAGAGCTATAAGATAAATTAAGTTGATTGAAATAAGCAGAGGGGACTCCTGAGTTTCAGAAATTTGACACCATACACTCACCAAAAAGCCTCTAAAATACTGAAGTCCTTGAAACTGTTGTCTAGCTGTGAGGTTACAATAACAACCCGAAACTGAGAGACCATGCACTGACAAATTAAGTAGATGTGGCTGTGTGAGTGTTGGTGCATGCACCCTTGTCTTTGCAGTGTGTGTGTTTGTGTGTATGTGGGTGGAGGTCAGGAGGGAGCGCATGATAGAGGAACAGATGTGTGCTGTATTGTGGTGGTGTGTGTGGACGGACGGGGACCAGGTGCAGCCTTTGTCTCTCCGGCATTTAAGTCCACTCGCTTGCATTCAGCCGCCTCGTGCCTCCCCTCCCCTCCACGTCCTCCTCCTTCCTCCTCTCCTTGGAGAGGGAAGGCAGAAATGTGTGTGTGTGTGTGTGTGTGTGTGGAGGAGGGGGGCTGCAATGGCTTAGTGGAGGAGGCTCCAGCAGTCTCTTCTGCACCCCCCTCCTCCTCCCTCACAGGTGACTGTTGGAGGTCCCAGCTGGCCAGCTCTTGGCCGATTAGATCCATATGGTACAGGAGGAGGAGGAGGGGAGGGAGGGAGGGAGAGAGAGAAGGGTGCCCATCAGTTGTATGGGTGCTAAGGGGGCTGTTAGTTTGGCCCTTTTTTGCCCCGAGCTTCAAGACAAGTGTTCTGGGGGGGTTTTAAAATGCTTTTCCCTTATCACTTTTTTCCCTCATTGTATGTTTACTCTGGGGCTTGTTTTAATATTATTCCCTCATTTTTTTCTCTATTGCTGTACTCTCTGATTTAGTTGAGATGTTGTTTCAGTTAGGCCTACATGATATGAGGAAAATCTGCGATAACATTGTTCAATATTGCGATGATGATATGACTTGCGATAAATAAACAAAAAATGAAGTGTGTGCATATTAGCTACCTGGTTGTCTTTAAATTCAGAACAGAACTAAAAAAAATTTAAATATAACTAAATGTTATAGCAACATTAAAATGCAAGCAAGGTCACTATACAAACTCAGTATCTCACATCAAAATACTGAGTGATGTTTAGAATGAATGAAGAACTCCTCCTCCTCCTCGCTCTCTGCTGTTATGCACGTAACATAAACGTTACAGCTGGTGGAGAGAGCAGTGAACAGCTAAATTTACAACAAAGTGCCAAATTTTAAGCTACGTGGCAAACTAAGCTGGGCAGTTAGATCACAGACTCGTCTATGCTACAGACAGACAGCTTTAAATTGAGCTTTTTTTGTAACATTTCGTGCGCTGTAGTTGTGTAAAACATAACGTTAGATGATGAAAGACTGCGGACAAAAAACATGTCTACATGTTTGTGCTTGTTGAACATATATTGATAAGTATAAGTATTGGCTTTTTATTTGTGAAGGTCATACTTATAGTAACGAGCATAGCTGTTGTCAACTTTGGAGTTACCTTTAATTAACTGTGGCCTCTGGGTGTGTGTGTGTGTGCACTATATTCATTGCTGACGACATGGGGGCTCTGTTAGTTGATAGTTTTTGTATCTTCTCGTCTTACTCCTGGTAAGAAAACATGCCTTTCACAAGATTTTGCAGTGTTTCTTAAACAAGCTGTTTTAAAGTTTGATTCAGTGACGCATGCTTATGTTTGTATCTGTGTGCGTTAACATGTCTGTGTTAGCTATGTGTGTGAGCCCACATAGTTTATTGCACATACTCTGAATTGTCTTTCGGCTCACTAATAAATTAGTCAGGCCTGTGTTACATCTTCTCTCACCTCATCTACAATGACAGGACGAGGAGATAACACAACGGCCGGAGTACACAATCCTACTTCACCACCACACACACTTGCACACACATGCCCCATGACTCACAGCTGCCAGAAAGTTTAAACTTCAGAGTTAAACCATGAGCTTAATAACCCTAACACAGAACACATTTATTTATATATCACATCAAGTGTAATTTATATGTACTGACTCAAAGTGGGTTATCCATCCTCACTTTGCACAATGAGATAAATGAATGTTCCCTTCACTTTATTTTTCTTGTTTTCAATTTTATTTTTGATTTAATGGATGACTTTCAGTCACAGTAGTGGCTCAGTGGGAATAGCCCTGCTCTGTTTTTATCTTTCTCTATCCTTCACTCTTTCTCTTCCCGAGCCTCTTTCTGAGTCATCACCTGCAGAGGCAATTAAAGCTCATTGAATGTTTTAATGCAGACGAGCGTCACCTGAAGCTGAACAAACAAGGAACACCTGGCTAGCAACAACAGCCATCGCCACAGATGTACATCACTTTTCCGTGCCTGCAATACCAACTGTCGTAGAAAGCAAACAGGTTAGCGTAAGTAACTTGTAAAACTTTACGTGCGTGTCATCTGTTTGAGAAGAGATGACAGAAGCAGCACAGAACGGTATGAGCAGAATTTATCATTATTTTTTGTGATATCAGCCAATAATGTGAGAAGTCTTTTAAAAGAGAGTGTAGACGAAGCTTTCAGCCATGTCAGTTTAACATTCAGTATTTATTGGTTTGCTAACAGTTATCCCCTTTGCTTAAAAGTGTTTTCTATGCATCATGGCATTTCAATGCAATCCTGTGTGGTGAGGAGCTTTGTGTACCTTGCCTTTGTTCCATTACAGCAAAGATGACAGGTGGCATTTAGACCAGACAAACACCCCACATCCTCCTCTAAGCCAATATTCACCTGAGTTAACATTAGACCACTTTGTACACTGTGTGTGTGTGTGTGTGTGTGTGTGTTTTCTGGCTGCTGTGACAGCTGCCTCCCCTGATAGCCCTGTGACTATATATGGTGGACTCAGGTGCTCGCAAACCAGATGAAGTCATCCAGCTATGTATGCGGTCTAATTGACAAGAAGATGCAATTCTCTATGGGCTGTCAGCACTACATGCGCACACACCTGATGTCTCCTGTTTTGGCCATTACCTCTGGCATGGCTAACAACAGACCATGCCACATGTTAAGATTGCATGAACACACCTACATTTCTCAGTTCTATACAGACATGGGATGCACAGTAAAACATATGTACAGTATGTTTGTATCTGTTGTGCAAATTAAATTCTCTGGCCTTATTGAGACTTATCAGTCAAACACAATAGGCCTCCAAGAAGCTTTACAAAGATGATAGTCATTTTGGACTCAAAACTACTGCTCACTGCCAGTGGAGAACTGTTGATGATGTGTGAGCATGTCAACAAAGTACTTGTGAACACATTTCCATACAACACTACTGTACAGCAAGCGCTGAATGCCCAAATTCTAGCTCTTGTGTGTATATAAAGTTGTTTACATGGTAACAGTATTGACACAGAGGCCATATGCCCCGTTGATTCTGTTATTGAGATGTCAGTCTAATTTCCTGGCCATACGGATGGAGTGTGCAGAGCTTTGGACGGTGTGTGCGTGTGTGTGCGTCCTGCAGGCTGCTTCCTGCGGTGCACTGGCAGACCGCGTGTGTGGTGGGTATGACGGTCCAAATGTCTGCATAGATCCCTCCTTCCTGCCCCCTACGTTGGCGAACAGGTGGAGTGATGGCAGGCAGGCCGCAGGGCTGAGAAAGAAGGAGAGGGAAAGAGGCAGAGAAAGCGAGAGGGTAAAGTGGACTGCAAAACAGAAGGAAGAATAGTCAAAGCTTTATAATGAGTTGCAGACATGACAGATGTGTTGCATTGGTTAGTGTGCAGATAGATCGACTCTAGGAAAGGCAAACAGGGCTGAAAGATTTGAGTGAAAGTTCAACTAAATTTCTTTCATGTGTGTATTCACTTATACTTTTGTAACTAAAATTTACTCTGAATTTTTAATGCATTGACTTCTGGATGTTTTTACATATTTTTGCACTCACAAAATCTAAAATGCTTTTTATTCATTCAATAGGTTTTATTCCCCCCCCTTTCAATTCTCTTTCAGTTACCTACTAACGGCTTAAATCTTCCAACTTTTTTTATAAACTGGGATCCTGTGGCACAAGGCCATGCAGAGTTCATAGCTGTGAAAAAGATATAAAGGGTGCCATTGAAGCCAAAGCCCTAAAACCATGAATCCACATTTAAAAAGCTGCTCTCTGCTGACCCATGACCTGTGAGACCATGCTCGTCTATTAATCGTCCATTCTTGAAGCAGTTAGAAAAGTCTGATCCACTTTAAATGGAGACGGGACCCGGCCTTCATGGATCTCCAGGAGACAAAGACAGCTTCTGATCCCCCAACTCCCCACCACCACACCCCTATTTCACTTTCTCCATACCCCTTATCTGGTGGTCTCATTCAGCAGCAGTAGCATATTGAGAAGTTGCGTTTAACATTCAAAAGCTTTGCCGATCTTGTTAGTAAAGCGTGAAATAGCCTCGTCCTTTTCTCTCTGTCTCATTTTTTTTACCCCCTCCCTATTTGCTGGGGAGCTCAATGAGGGGGCATTCTTCTCTTCTTTTCCCACACAATAGGCTTCTTCAGCATTTCTTCTGTTATTGATCTGAATGGTCGGGAGTGAAGGGCTAAACTTTAGACATCTGGCTCTTTGATGAGGGTGGGGGCTGGGCATTTTTGTTTTCTTTTGTGACTATAGACCTGAAGTTTTTGCAACTATTGAACTGACTTGAGTTTTCTGTCTCTCTCGCTCTCTCTCTAGACAGTAGAGAGAAGAAGAGCCCTGCCATGCCCGGTTCTCCTGTGGATGCTAAGACTCATTCCAGATCAGCCCCCAGCAGCAGCGCCAGCTCCACAATGCCACCCCTGCCTTCTGTCAACCCCAGTGGCCCTCGCCTGGCCTCCTTTTCCACCACAGCATGTAAGGATCAGTCTTGAATTCTTTCTTGTCCAGAGTTTAGATGATTGTAGCCCCAGCAAGCATCTCATGTTACTCTTCTAAGCTAAACTTATAGATTGCGTTTGACATACTCTAAGAAAGGGATCATCTTAATTTCTCCCCTCTTCTCACCTTTACACCCCCAGTGACCAATGGGAATCATCATTCCCCGCCAACCCTGAATGCCGTGCCATCTCCACCGCAGCGTTACAGCAACGGACCATCCTCTTCCTCTTCCTCATCGCTGGCTAACCAGCAGCTGCCGGCCACCTGTGGGGCTCGCCAGCTGAGCAAGCTGAAACGTTTCCTGACCACGCTGCAGCAGTTTGGCAATGACATCTCTCCTGAGATTGGAGACAGCGTCCGAAGCTTGGTTCTGGCCCTTGTGGTAAGTTCATCGTTACCACGTTAAAGATAATTGTAGAATATATACCATTTCTCTTAGATTGGGTTTTTACCCATATTTGGCATTTAGCACAGATGATTGTATCTTGAACTTCACCTTTACTCCTAGAATTCGACAGTTACCATTGAGGAGTTCCATTCACGGCTTCAGGAGGCCACCAACTTCCCCTTACGGCCCTTTGTTATCCCATTTCTCAAGGTAAACACATCTTCAACCTCCATCTTCCTATATGTGCTTTGCATTATTCCATTGGATTACTTTATTTTTCTTTGCTGCAATGTTTTTCTTCTCCCCTCCCAGTTAAGTTTTAAACCCAAAACCCTATTGTCAGCCCGAAACCTGTCAGAATCATGTAGCCCTGCTAAAAGCATCACACTCTGTGTTGTCACACTGCTGTGGTTGTCAACCATGCTGCTTTATTAATCACAGAATAGAATGAAAGTGATAAAGAGGTCATCAACCCACTTATGGAATGATCTGAATAATCTATGGGCAATCACATTACTGCTTGTGAGTCATGATGGAAAATTAATAGATTCATTACACTTTATTACTGTGTTTCCAGGACACAATGCACTTGTCTATAAATGGGCATCTGTGTAGGTTTTCTACTTGAATAAACTGCTTCTCTGCTGTTCAATGTAGCTATCAAGATTTGCGTGTTGACTTGACAAGCAACAGATAAGTGTGTGTTAAACAGTCTCTTGAGCCTCTTTGTAACCAGGAGAGTCTGCAAGCGTATACTTTTTAGGAGCTCCCCTCAGTAAAGCAGCTCATAAATCATAAGTCAGTTGTACCGCTGTGACTTCAAGCGGTCAAATCACCCCCCCCCCCCCTCCACGCTTACCTCTTACTCACCTTTTGGAGCCCCTCCATCTGTCTGTCTGAAAGTGCGGAGACAAGAAACCTCTGTTCCCCCTCCTACTACTTATTTATTATGAGGGGGTGGGTCCCCCACAACTTGATCCTTGAGAGAAGTCTATCTTAAGAAAGAGAGAGAGAGAGTGGGGGATAAATTGACAGATGGTACAAAGTCATGGGGTGAGGAAGTGGAAAAGAGAGCGGTGGGTGAGGAGGAGAGAGGGAAAAGTGGGAACTCGGAAGTGTGAAACATGCCTATAAAGTGTTCCCTTGCCTTTTTATGGGTTTCAGTGCGCCATATGGAGCTGCTGTCCCGTTAAAAGAGCATTCAGCTGCCAAGGCGCCGCCAATCTAGCATCCGTCCCGATGAACCCCAGAGAGCCCTCTGCTCAACTGACACACAGCACATGTGTTTGCTAGCTGGGGCCCCAGGGAAAGAAGGGAGGCAGGGGAGGATGGGAGATGGGCAAAAGAGAGCACTTGGGTGTTATGAAAGTAAACCGTGAAGTGGAATATCGACATCATTGTGAAGAGATACTGTAAGTATGAGCTAGTCAGGACAGATCAGCAGAGAAGGTCAAATTAGAGGAGAAAGGGGTCTAGGTTTATAGAATCTGCTAGATGATGGTGATGGAAGAAGTGTTTCGTGCTAGGAGGATAGGTTGGAGTCACAAAATGAGAACAGTATGGTTATTTAGTTGGTTGCTCGAGAAAAGGGAGTGAGGAAGTGGTGTAATTGCAAACACACCAGAGTCTGTTCCTAATTAGGGCAATGCAGGGAACAAAAGCGAGATGGAAAGATAGGATGGAGACAGTTTTTTATATATATATATATATATATATATATATATCTATCTCTCTCTCGTAGGACACACCGTACTGTGTATGGTGTGGCCTATGAGATATTATTAACCAATCACTTCAGCAGAAAGTTAGAAAGCCCACACCCGACTCCTAAAACCCCCTTTTTTCAGCCAGGCTTCCCCAGGAGGCAGATCTACATTGTGTCTCTTAGCTTTGTTACAGTGTTCAACAAGTTCTGGTCTGTTTTCTAGAAAAGCTATGTGGTGCTTCCTTTTTCTGTCTGGCTTGATCTACCTCTGAATGATTATGTGAAGTATGATTGTGTGACTGAAATCTGAGGGGCAGATGACCATGATACAACTATTACCAAAATAGGAATGTTTCTTAATTTTCTTCTTCCTAGTCGTTAAGACTGGGAATCAGATTAGTTCTGCCAATTAGACTAAAACCTCACCAATTGTTTTTCTATCTTGACAGGCAAATTTACCCCTTCTGCAGAGGGAGCTACTCCACTGTGCACGGGCAGCCAAGCAGACCCAGCCCAGTACCTGTCCCAGCATGAGCATCTCCTGCTAAGCACCACCATGGCCTCCTCTCCAGACTCCTCTGAGCTGCTGATGGAGCCTCCTGATACTGCAACCAAGAGACACAGCCCCAGCAGGTTAGATTAAAGTATAACTCACAGTGTATATAGTTAGTAGAAGCATACATATGTAGCATTCCTCCTCTTGCTAATTTTTTAACCGCCCACCGCCCTTCTTCTTCAGAGGTAAAGAGAACGGCTTCCATGAACGTCCGCCCGTAGCCATGGAGCCCACCGCAAAACGAATTTGCACCATCAGCCCCGCTCCCCGACACAGCCCTGCCCACCCGCTGCCCCTCAACACGCAGCTTCACCCGACCCCTCCACCCCTGCAACACTATGCCCTGGATGACATTGCAGCACCACACATCCTACACCGAGAGCACAGCCAACGCATGTTGGAGATCCGTGAGCTCAAAGACAGGCCCAGACTCCCTGGTACGTGATGCAGAAGCAAAATTATGCTTGTTAAGTCCTTTTTTTTGGCAAGGTTTACTAAAGCACATTTTTTCCCTAAAGATTTAAAATTAATGACTGCTGACATGGTGTAAAGTTCTATCTCAGTCATGGCTGCTAGTTGTGTGGAAATGTTCAGTTCCTTAAAAAAACATTATTTGGCCGTAATAAATGATGGTTGTAGGCTATCATACATCATTGTGGACATTAACCCAGTGTCATGTAAACCTGAATTATATGAGAAATAACATTCCTGCAAACCACTTAAACACCAAAAACGTTGACCTCAGTGTGATTCCTCACAACATTGGGAATGCAAGTGGCTGATTCATTTAGAAATGAACACATTTGCATGAAAACCGACACACACACACACATTCTATGAGCGATAACGGGTGGTCTGTGTGTTTGTGTAGCCGTCTCCGTATATCTCTGGAGTCCACATGTGTATAAACAGAGCCATACTGTCCAGGCAGGGAGGGTTGTATCGACTCTGGTGTATATCTACCCTCCATTTGGGGCTTGTCAGCACACAGTGGAAACAGCAGTAGCTCACAGACACAGGCACACACAGACATGCAAAGAAACACACCTTGATATGTTCATGTTAGAGGTGCTGTGTTTACAAGGCTTTAGTCCCTTGTCTGACAGCCTCCCGCCCGCCTGCCGCCACTTAACTTATAGGCGTGCACACACACACACACACACACACACCCACCAGTCCACACACTTGTGGCTTTGAACTGATGAACATTGATGAGAACCAGGAGTAGAGAATAGGTCAAGGGAAAGCTAGTGTGTGTGTGTGTGTGTGTGTGTGTGTGAGGGAATCATTATTCTGTTCAGCAGGCCTAGTGTGCATGTGGCCTCTTGTTGGCTGTTTGTTACTCAATTTTAAGAGTTTGTGGTTAGCTGACTCTTTGTAGTCAGAGTGTGTCGGTGTGTGACTTATCAGGACATTTTGGGCTTTTGCATGAGGACAAGCTTGTGTGTGCAAACTATTATTACTGTTAAATCTACAATAAGCTATTACTTAAGTCATAGTGTTGTGTAATAACTGAATTGGAATCAGATAGTTCAGTAAGTGTGTGTGTGTGTATGGTTGTAATGGTCCGCAGTGAGTGTCAGACCGGCTGGTTGTATTTAGAAGTGGAGCCACTCCACTCAGCCTGAGTGTCTCCCAACTGGAATGCTGTGAGCTCCAGGAGGGAGGTGCTAAGGGAGACGTTTGGGGTGTGTGTGTGTGTGTGAGTTTGTGTGTGTGTGTGGTTGACAGCTGACTTCCAGATGTGTGCAGGCTCTGGGTACTGGAAGTCTGTTTTGCATCACAGGCTTCTCCTTTTCTCTCTCACCCTATATATATATATATATATATATATATATATATATATATATATTTTTTTTTTTTGTGCTCATAATCCCTCAGTCATCTTTTTGTTTGTTGTTTTTTTTTTTTTTCTCCCCACTTCATTGCTGTCGCTCTTAATTATGGATGTAAGAAAGTGCTGTCTCTTCTGCTAAATATGTGTTCCGAATTTATAATCATCACAGGATATCTTGTGGTGAAGTATTAAAGCTAACCGTATCTACTGTATCTCAAAATTGAAAGTAAATTAGTTTTTTTGTCGTCTTAAAGTGCAGATTTGCCATAGATGCAGACATGCACACACCTTTCACTCGCTTACTGTCATTTGTGGCTTTTCTTACATGAAGAATGTTAATGACATTGGCCTGTGGTCTGTCCTGTGTGTGTTTTAATCAGGCACTAACGGGGGTTACCGCGAGGAGCCAGTGGACCACAGACTGACAGACCGAGAGTGGGCTGATGAATGGAGGCATCTGGACCATGTAAGTCTGTAGACAGGCACTACTACTGCTAATGGCTTGAGATATAGTAAGAATGTAAAATCTAATTTGTTTTACCGGGGTCCCATACTAAAAAGTGTTTTCACAGCATGAAAGCATATTTGGACGTTAGGCATTGAAAGGAGGCATTCACGTTTTGCTACTAATTGGGATGATTTTCATATAAGCGATGTTATAATTGGTTCTTGGTTCTTTGCTATGAAGATTTTTAGACACTTCAACAGATCAAGAATTTTCATTGTTCAAAGTTTCATTGAGAAGCAATACCCACCCACCATAGTTGGCTAAAATTATATTACATTTAATGAGTAGTGAAAAGATCTAGTTATACTTCTGTCAGAAATAATTAAAGCAAACTCACTCAATACAATTTGGTTTTCTCTTCATCTTCTAGGTGTTGAACTGCATTGTGGACATGGTGGAAAAGACACGGAGGTCAGTGAGTGTGCTCAGACGATGCCAGGAGTCCGATCGCGAGGAGCTCAACTACTGGAGACGGCGTTCGAGTGAACAGGAGGACCCGCGCAAAGGAGGCTCAGGCTCCGCTCCCTTCTCCAAGACACATAGCCCCCACTCTGCAGACTCGGGTGGGTACCGCTGGTTTCACTTCAGTTATGTTGGTATGCCGCAGAGACCAATAATTTTGTTGTCATTTCTGTGATTATCGCCTATTGTTTTCCACGAGGGAAGATTGCTTCATGAACCCTGGGACGAAGCCAAACTAATTAAAATCGGTTAGTTGTTACACTTAAAGTGTCAGTTCAACCAAATTCACAAAAAAATGCATTGACCCTGATGGTACTGTCTACCTATGCGGATAGTGTTATTTGCTCAAGTTCTGAGAGCTCCATCCCTAAATGTCTGCCACACAAAAGCATGAGCGAGAATAGAATTTGGTTTGTGTGCTCCATGATTAGAGTTTTAGATGCTGGACACTGCGTTGAGCACCAATGACTTTTCATTCAACTCATACTCAGTTGAACTGAATAAGCATCATAGAAGAGCATCAGATCTCAAAAAAACATTGTCCTGGCAAGAAAGTGTAACAATTGGGATTCATTCAAGGATACAGAGATAAGATATACAAGAAGTTTCAAGTCTTTACAAAAGCTGAGTCTAAATGCAGAGTGTATTCTTAATAATAAGATATAATCATTTGAACATCCTGAGGTGTACTTTTCTAAAAGGTCTGAGCATCAACCAGGACAGCATTCTTCTATTTCACCCCGTCTAGTGGCCATTGATAGAACTGCAAGTCACATGTCAGTGTATTAGTGAGTCTCTCCACAGTTAAGTCTGTGTACTGCCGCGGTTCTCTCTGAGTGCCAGCCTTGCCTTCCCCCTGCTGGTCCATAGTCACAGACAGGTGCCAGGACTGGCCTCTGCCATATCGGCCACAGAAGGGCCGTCCTGCCGTCCTGCAGGCTCAGAGACCCAGAGCTGGCTGACTTGCCAGAGCACCATCTGGGCCCCCAGCCGGGAAGCCTGCCTGCCTGCCCGCATGCCTGCCTGCCTGCCTGCCTGGGCTCGGGCTGAGGAAGACTGTAGGGGGGGTGGAAAGGCACCGGAGAGGGTGCACGCAGCCTTGTTGAGGAGAGAGGATGGAAAGGAAGGAAAAGGGAGAAAGTGGTGGTGAGACGGTGGATATAAGAGATGGGGAAAGAGATGAGTCTGGCAGCAGTGTTGGAGAGGCAGAGCCCGGTAGAAAGACAGAAATGAATTGACATGCACGAGTAGAGAGAGATTTGCGGGAACAGACAGAATGTTGACACAGCTTGTTTGTCTGCAATTCCCTCCAAGCCAAACACATTCCTTTCTAAAGCTGTCAGATCTCAGATCTGTCCAAGACTCTGCTAAACAACAATTACGTTGGTTGTGTGGCCTAGATATGCTGACTTGTTTGCATTAAGTACAAAAGAAAAGACTAGGCGACAATATATAAGATAATATCTCTGCCTGCCCCGTGGCCTTTCTTTGTAAGCACCGGTTACCTTGATTGAGCTGTCAGTCAACCATTATTTTAACAATTAATCATCTTAATATCTTTATAAGCCTTGGCAGGTGCTAATCCCTTCTGTCTCTGCTTTCCCGCAGACTCCCAGCGTGACTTTGCTCCACGGCCAGGCTCAGCATACGTTACAGATGAGATCTGGAGAAAAGCTGGTAAGAACCACCATCAATTTTGAAATTTAAAGTGTTGATGTGTTATGGAAAAGAATGTGCATATATTTAGTTAGACAAAAAGGTGATCACAATGCATTTTACTGAAGCATTAATCAAGATTACAGGAGAAAAATGATGACATATGAATGTTTGGAGGTAGAACACACATAACCTGCAATTGTGTACTGCTGATCTACAGAGTTTAAACAAGCTAAACTTAAAACACCTGTCTCCCCTGTACATAGAAGAGGCGGTGAATGAGGTGAAGCGTCAGGCCATGGATGAGGTCCAGAAAGCAGTAGCAGAGGCTGAACAGAAGGCTTTTGAGATGATTGCTGCAGAGAGGGCTAAGATGGAAAAGACTCTGACTGAGGCAAAGAGGAAGGCTCAAGAGGACGCCATCTTGGTCATCAACGAGCAGGAGGATTCCAGTGAGGTGAGCAGAGATATCGAGGAAGTCCTGCATTTTAAAAATTGCAATTCTGCATACAAGCGCTTCATGTCGTCATAACTTTTTTAAGATTTTTACATTCAGCTTATAATTAAATGCGCAGTACATTTCAAGCTCCCATAATCAATTATTGATATGAAAACTGGATCAAGTGAGGACATCAAAGTGGCAGGGGTTGCTCATGGTAATGAACCCACACATACGACTGGACTTCGCTCTATAGTTTTTACAGCATCTTTTTTTTTTTTTTTTGCATGGAAAAACTCTGAAACTACACTGTTGGCTGTTTGTTCAGCACCAAACAGCAGACAGACAAGGACATATTGGAGAATTTAGCAGCTAATAAAGCTAAATATTTCCCTTATGGGTTGGTGGAGAGAAAAGGAAAGTGCGCAAAAGAGGATAAACTGAAGCTGAATTTGGCCGGTGACCAGGAATACGACTGACTAAAAATTACAACATTGCTAAATATCTGCTGGATATGTTAACAGGCAACTGCTTGCTAACAAGTTCACCATATTAACTAAAGCTTGTTTCTGCTTTTATGTTGGAACAGGCTTAAGCAAATAAAGGCACAAATATGCACATTAGACACTTCATTCCTTAACCTTACATTCCTGTGAAAACTTACAGTTGTCGCTCTTTTCTTCCTCAGTGTTGCTGGAATTGTGGCCGTAAAGCTAGCGAGACGTGCAGCGGCTGCAACGCCGCTCGCTACTGCGGCTCCTTCTGCCAGCATAAAGACTGGGAGAGGCATCACCTCATCTGCAGCCCAGGACTTCAAGCTCAACCAAAACCAGTTTCTGCCATCACTGCAAACAGGGTCGCCACTGTGGCCTCGGCGGCGGCAGCAGCCGGGGTGTCTCCTCTCGGTCTTGCCGGGGTCAAGGCCCCCGACAGTGTGCCCTCAGTCTCCAGTCCTGGTGGAGAGAAGGCTTCGGTAGCTTCACGCTCCTCCACTCCTTCCACCCCCGCCTTGGCGCCTGAGACCAACGGACACTAGGGGGTGAAGGACATCAGTGGAGGCCAATTCACCTGTCCTCTTAATGGGGAAGAACTGAATCAGCAGCAAGAAGGAACTATTTGTGTGTTAAGTTAACAGATTTTTTTTCATCATACTCTTTGCCAGATAAAAAAAGACAGATAATGGATGACTGTTATGAATGATATGTCAACTGGGACTTTGGCATAGAACAGAAGGACTCGTCTCCAATGCATCTATTGGATGAACAGATCTCCCTAACAGATGGAAACGTGTTTGTCTTCGCCCAAAACCCCAAATCTTCGATCTGCGAGGCTCAGAAAAAAAAACAACTGACGATTGATCTGAATTTATCTCTGGCTGCGGGGAGGAAGTAATGAAAGGAAGGCATATGTGAAAACACAGTGGAGATTAAAAAAGGGAGGTATAAAGACGCCTCCCCCTCGACCCAATATTCTTACTTTGTTGTGTATAAATGTAAGATAGGGAGGTGGAGGTGGTGGTGGTGGTGGAAAATGTAAACCGTGTAATAGTACCAGCCATAAAGCCGTCTGTCTTCGTCCTGTAGGAAAAGTCTGACAGCAGACCACATAGTCGTCTGTGCAGCTCTCCTGTATACATACATATTTGCTTGCCAACTTCTTGTAAGGTTTTCATATGTATGAATGTGTGTGTCAAATGGTGGTGCCGTCAGTGGATATTGTACAGCATATGATTTACTTTTGTCAAAGCAATATTAAAGTGAAGTGTTCAGGTATCTCAAGCCGTTTCTGCATCACCAAAGTTTTCAGTCGCTAAAGAGAGTTGTTGTCATTGCCTGTTAACTGTCTCTTGTGAACAAGAGATGATTATACATACCCTACATTATTATAATGAGCTTAACAAGGTAATCTGGTCACTGTTTTTCCATTTCTGATCAAATGGCATCTTCAAAGAAAAAAATATAAAGGTGATGGTGATTGGCTCAAGTAAGTGCAGGGAGATGCAGTTAAGACTTTCTTCTGGTTGCAGTTTAATTCTTTGGCACTTGTTCACATCACCAGTTGTGTATGGCAGGGTCAGATGTTGCTCCAAAGCTTCCACCATTGCAATAATTGCATCAGGTCACAGGAGTGGGTTATAATACAGCTTTTTTTAAAGTAGTGATTTCAACAAAAGGAGCGATAAGGGATGACAAATGAAATCCATTTCACTTTGAAGGGAGAAAATTCTCACTGGTGCTTGCATTGCCGTGGAGTGGGTTTGGAGCAACGACTCTGTCCCACAGAGAATCTCAGGAGCTAAAGCGTATTTGTATGTACAGATCATTCTGTCCTTTTTATTTTTATTTTTTATTTTTTCTCTTCTGTCACAGTTAGGTTCAAGTCAAAAGTTTAGTGAGGAACTTTGATTTATCGTACTCTGCTGTTGCAACTGAGATGTTGTTCTTGTTTTTGTTCGTTGTAATTGTTCGTTGTAAGATGACTTTGTAAAGAATATTATGAGAGGATGCCTTTATTTTGTGAGCCACAATTTTCTTCGTTCTTTAAACACGTTCTTTTGTTATGAGGCATATCTTCATATGAAAAGATATCTTGACATGAAGTATGAAATAAAGAAATTGCTTCTAAATTGTTCATCTTTTCTTAATTGTCTTTATAATATGTTAAAATCATAAATCATCATGTTAGAAATTAAGTGTGACTTAAAACATTTGTCTATTAATATAGAATGATATATTCTGCTACAGTCTGTCAGAAACTCAAGTCTTGATACAAATCACTGTCTTTTTATAATATAACTAAATATTATTCATTATACACATAGTGAAATTAGCACAGCCTTTCTTTGGGTTATATTATTTGAGCACATACTGTAATTACAATCCTGCAATATAAAGAGCAACAGCAGCTTTAATTATGTGCTATTTTCTACAGAGCTCTTAATATTTCAGATATCTGGTTTTGGTTCATTGGTGTCGAGCTTGGCTCCAAAAACCTGTTTGATTTAATGAGTGCAGAGCAGAAGGAATAGCACCTTGATAATAAAGGCATTTTCATACAAACCAGCATTTTATTGAATTTACTGCACAAATTGTAATTAGGGGTTCCTCTCAGAAGCAAAACAAGTCTCTAATTTTGGCATCCTCTTTGTCTCTTAATGTTGTGAATCATTGAGTGACTCCTGATAAAATATGCAAGAGGTATCTTTGAATTCAGGTATGAAGTAATGAGGAGGCTCTCCTAGAGACTGAATTATTCTGAAGTGGGTGGGAGTTCATGTATAATGTATAATGTTTTCCACCTCTGAAGTTAATTAATATGCAAGTCACTTCATATTGAAGCTCTATATTAAAAGGAACAGGGATTGTAGGAGATGATTGACTTCAGTAGTTTCTTTAGTCGTCGTTGTCTTTTACATCAAAAAAGCAAAATATTACTTCAAAGGCTAACATGCAGTAGAAAGATGCAATGACATGTGTGACCACGAGGTGGCAGTATAAGCTATATTTTAGTGTCATTGCTTTACGCCTACATGGAATGTTAGAAGCTCCCACAGTAGTTGAGGTGACTTGTTGCAAACAAATTTATGCGATAAAAAGTAGGTGCTCACTGTAAATTTGTCCACAATTCTTTATATATGAAATAATTTCAGTTGTACAGAAAAATCCAAAACATTACTTTTTTTTTTAAATGTGAAGAGCTTTCTGTCTCACAAAGCCGAGCTGAACAGGACTCAAACTAAGTTATTCTGAAATATCTTCATAGAAATAGTCCAATGTTTATTTTAATGTTACAGCTGATCCACATGGTCCTGAGTGACACCAGCTTTAACACTATTTGGAATCTAAATTTATAGCAATGCATTATATTTTATTTATTTGAATAATATATTGATCTACAGCTGCCAAATAAATGTATGAACAAAAAAGTTAAATTTTAGTCACACCAAATGAAAACACTTAAGTACCAGTAATGTAGCGGTACTTACTACCTGTGCCTTACTTGAGAAAATGTACTTACTTTATAGGTGGGCAGCTGTGAAAGTAATCAGATCCTTTACTTTAGTGAAAGCTGTGAAAAGTAAAAGTCCTGCAAAATTACTTAAGTAAGTATTGAAGTATTATTAGCTAAATGTACTTTAAGTAGAAAGTAAATTAAAAAAAGTTTTAAAAAGGTTTTAAAAAAGTAAAAGCAATCACAATCAGAAAAAATATATTATTGATAATATTGGATTATTATCACTAATGCATTCACGTTTAAAGAGTATTTTACGGCTGTAGTTGGCAGAGGTGGAGCTAGTTTTAACTACCATGTACTGTTGGCTAGCATGTATAACAGTGTATAAAACCTAATAAACCTTAGATACATATAACAGATGTTTGTATCATATGAAAAATCTTAATCTGAAAACAAGTAAGAAAGTGCAATATTACCTAAGAGTAAATATACACCACTGTAGGTATACAGGTATATAGTTCCCAGTTGCTTGTAATAAAACCTGACCAGTTGTGCCATGATTCTTTAAAGCATCCATCTATAAAAGACCGTGATTAAAAAGGGTATTTACTGATCATTGATCTAAAAATGAAGCATGACTCATCTGTTGTCTAGAGATAATTACGTGTGTCAGCGCGTGTGCCAGAATCAGTGTTGTTATTTATTTCGGTGCCTGTGTAGTAGCAGGATCGTGACGCTTGCTTTGTGCTGAAGATAAGTGTTGAGTGCTTTCATGCTGTGGCTCAGATGTTACACGGACACAGCAAAATTCTGAAACAAGCATGTAGGTTTTCTATCTGGTTATAAATATGGATCTGTACATGCAATTCTTTACACAGTATATATATATACATATATACATACACACACACACACACACACATAAACACACACTAGCTTTCGAGTGTTTCATTTTGTTCTGTTCTGCATTTAAACCCCTTTTTTTGTTATAATTTGATGAGTTGGTTGCTGTTGGGCCAGAAGACAATCTGAAAAGCAGCTTCAGTTGTTTTTGTGCGTGAGTTGGTCTGTGTTTATCGGGGACAGAGGGGTTTCTCAGTTTGTGGTGAGCTACTCCTGCTTGTTCCTTGGAAAAAATGCTTCTACACAATGTTGTAATAATTGAGACTGATTAATTGTGCCTGGTTTCTATCCGGGCCTCTTGCTGGAGGCAGAGTAATGGAAGTCACTTTAGATTCTGCCCTTGTTTCTCACGATGCCAACAAAACAAGCTACAGTATGCAAAGCGTTGAAACAGAAAACATGTTTTTCTCCTTCATTCACTCCCTAGCCTTACTCTCTTTTCAGTCATCTCTTCTTTTCTCATTATTTTCTCACTTCTGTAGTTTCTTACATCATCTACCTTGATAACAACAGGAGTGAATCATTCATGTAACAAACACTAAAAAAAATTTTATATCCTATCTGACGTTCTCATCACCAGCTTTATATCTTCTTCATTGTGGTTTGTTATTTGATAAAATCTAATGGTTTTACTTTATGAATCATCAGTCTCCCACACAGTTGAGAGACTGCATTTGACAATTTCTACGATGACATTTAATGATGTCACAACAATTATGTCACAACAACAAAATTACACTGAACCTTTAAACAAGTTAATTACCTGTTTGTCTCTCCAAGTGTGGAATACTTGGCAACAGCTCATCATGTCAAAGAAATGTTCAACTCTTGGTTGTATTTGACACTATTTAGTCGAAAAGGAAATCTTGCATCATGGATAGAAACATATAATTGTTTTAAATGGCTTTTGAGAGATATGTGTATGTGTTTTATGTGTATGTATATGTGTTCTTGGGTCCTACAGCATCATGTGAAAGTCTTCAGTTTGAGTTGCTCACAATCTAGATATATTTCTCAAAAAACAAAATTTGTTCTAGATAATAAATGAGATACAGATACAAAGGTTGCAGCAGAGTAATGTGAATTAGTGCAGAAGTAGATGATACAGTAGCTGCACTGGAAAACAGGATTAGTACCAAGTAGAGTACTTGTACATTTATTGCTGGCCAATACTGTATAGCTGCTATCCTATAAAGCAGAGTGTTCAAAGGGTTTCACAGAAAGGCATAAAACCAACATAAGGCCTATGCATCATGAGGAGATGAGAACCATACACATTAGAAACAACATATACAGCCATGCTAGCAGATCTTTGAGGCTGCACATCATGCTGATGTAAATAATAATACTAATACTAAAGTAATACACATTATTTATATAGTGCCTTTCAAAATACAGTTCAGTGCTTTCAAATAAAAAACAGAATACATTTAAAACAAAAAGAGAAAAAAAAACACATTATAAACAGAGTAAAATGAACTGAAATGTCATAAAACATAAATTAAATCATCTCCTCAGGCCACAGTCTCGGAGCTCTAACCTCAAATGTTAAGTTTGAACTTGGACCAAGGAACAACCAGGAACAATGCATCCGAGGATCTCAGGCAGCAGGAAGGAACATACGACACTAAAAGATTTGCTAAATAACTTTGGGTCTCTCAGGATTTTGTAAGTAATCAATAATTTATATAGAAATCAATTCTAAAACAACAGGGCAGCCAGTGTAGAAGAATTCGGCTTGGTGTGATGTGATTCTTGGAGTCAGATGTTTCTTAGATTCAAAATCCTGGCTGGAGACAGAGCAGAGGTATTTCTTACTGATGCCAGAGAGCAAGGAATTACAGTAATCTAACTGGCTAGTTATGAAAGATAATGAGATGATGAAAGCAGGATTGAACCATTGATTTAACCTGTTTGTCTAAATTGAGGTTCTGATTAAAAATGACACCAAGATTTCTGCAATGTTGAGTGATTGAACAGAGAACCGAGACTAGAGTATTTGCACAATCTTTCCCTGTGTTCAATATCTCTGTCTTCCCAGCATTTCGCTGCAGAAACCTTTGTGACATATCCACTTTTGGATGTCATGAAGGCAGTTTAGCAGGTTGACAGTGTTCTGTTTTGCAGGGTCACAGCTTAGGTGGATGATCGAGTATTGTCTGTGTAAAAATGGAAACTGATATCATGTCTACGTATAAGGTGGTTGTAAATGGAAAAGAAGGTTGCCCTGGGGCACCCCACAGTGCACACCTGTAGCAGCTGACCTGGCCATCATGCCGCTGACAAAAATGTCTGTCTTTAAGGTAGGACCCATACACACCATTGCAGAACAGTGTCACAGATACCCAATCCCAGATTTCAAGAAAAGTCCCGGAGGATTTCAAGGCCAATGGTATTGACTGCTGCACATAGATCCAATAATAGATCATACATACATAGATCCAGGCATAATGTATACCTTTTCACCATCTAGCATGTTAGCATGCTAACATTTGCAAAAGATCACAATGGAATATCATTAGTTTTACAGGTATTTGATTATTAACCAAAGCAATGAACAAATAAAAATTCTAACCCAACCAGGCCCTATGAAAACTCAAGGGTTCCCCAAAGTTGGTCATCCTGGGAGGAACACTGATATCGGTCAGTTTCATGGCTGAAAGTGAAAGATGTCATCTTCAATGTGGTGCTAGAGGAAAACTCTCACCAAAGTCAGCAGGATTCATCTTCTGAGGAACATGTACCTAATGTCATGTCAGGCCATCCAATAGCTA